TTTATTTTCCACATTGACTATGTTCATTATAATTGTATGATCCATGTTTCTAATTCTAGCTGAAGCCGAGAGACCTTGGACCCGGGCTGAACAAAGTGCCTTGGAAGCAGCCTTGCGTTCAAATCCAGCTAACCCTTGTGAACATCCTGCAGTTCGTTGGCAAAAAATTGCAAATGTGGTGGGCACACGTACTAGCAAGGAGTGTCTTCAACGGTACAAATACCTCGCTGAACAAGTATGTACCTCACCGATTCTAGCAATTATTACCCATTTCATTTAAAAATTTACTTTAAGTCTAAGCAGCCAGATTAAAATTGGATGTAGCCTTATTATACAATAAGGAAGGAGACATGGGATCGAACAGGAATAGGCATTGAGATCGAAGTTCACAGTTGTTTTGAGACGTCCACTTTATCGGATCGTTTGTGGTCTACTAATATATCTGATAGATAAAATCGATTGATTTTATTACCTCAGCAGAATGCATGAAACACGCTCCTAATATTTGACTTAAGTAGAGAGAATGAATTAATGGGGAACTTGCACTCCCATTCCTCTTATGTGATTGGCCAAATGCATTTCTGACTGTTCATCGATCCATTGAATATTGATTTTGTACTGTCTGACTTCACCAACATTCACAGTGGTTATAGCACCGCCAATACATCCTATGAGTCGAAATTATATGCAAATGGCTCTACAGTATTATTACTGGAACAAAGGGAATCCTTTGTTTGATCTATTCTTTCTCTGCGTTTGAGTATTTATGTCAATAGAGCATTAGTACTTCTACTGAATTTATCAAAATAGTATTTGCAAGGTCCAAGTTTGTTATAGAGATATTCGCTACCGCGTATCAAATTGCCCTTTTCCCACTGACGTGGCCTATTAGATGGGATTCTTCATTTGGATAGTTACTGTTTTTGGTTTTCTTAGTGTCCTACATCTTTTCGCCACTAAATTAATTATAGTTTATTAGTCACTATAATTTTAATTTTTTAGATTAAATTGAAGAAGGCGGCTCAGGCAGCAGCTGGTGTGTCTACAAAGTGATGTATTCGTCCAGTTGCTTCTCAAGTTGGTGACATTTTATAACTGGATTGTAATGATAAGATCCCCCAATGCTTGTACAAAATGTTCTTGCATATGAAGTGCGTCTTAATATTTTGGTGAAAATGAAGAGAGTTCTAACTTTTAATCTGGGTTATCTTTGTTGGCCACTTCATGTATGTGATGAGGAAGGGTGAAGGACTAACTTCAGAAACCACTAACATTGAGAAGAGCTAGGTGGTTATCCTTCTCAATCCTTGGAAATCTGTTACCACTAGATCGAAAGAAAGCAATGGTTGCGGGATAAGTTTGACTGAGCCGATGAAAGGACGCAGAGAGGTTATTTGAAAAATTAGGAGTACTGGAAGTAATTAGCATCCATGTTGTATGTATCTGTTTAATGGGTTTTAAAAGGTAAAGATTAAGATTCATGTTCTGGCTCACAACTGATGAAATTCGTATATATATATAACGAGGTCAGCAGTTGTGCGTGCGGTTTGAGTTCTCTTTAGGTGGAACGGTCGATTTTATGGACTTAAAACTACCGAAACTATAGGAATAAAACTGAAGACGTCTAACTCAAGCAATCCTTTACTGTTGAGAAGACATGTCCTTATAGAGAATTCGATATGGAATATGGCCGATCAATATTGGCGACTTTGGATTCTTTGCTGATTTACTTCCATAAATAACTCTGAGCACAATTTCAAAAGCGAATTCAGTAAATGAATGACGAACTTACGAGTGTGCTTGATCGAACGCATTGAAATTATTCGGTTTAGTCCCCTTTCAGAAACAGACCCTCGAATCACTTTTGAACTTCGCTTGAATAAGTGAATTCAGGTACTTACCAGCCAACTGACTTTGGAGCGATGCAATTTGGCTGTCGATATGATGGGATTAGTTACCATCTCAGGTTATACGGCTATCTGCATAATACTAGGTCACATTCTTGGGTCAATAGAAAGCCCTAATTATTTACGCAATGCGTTTAAACCATTTGCATAAAGTTTGACCATTACCCTGTGTGAGAGTGACAAAAAAGATGCCTACAAGTGTTGACTGCCTTAATTCCATTTTCCGGGTCTTTCTGTGCATGCAGTAAATCCTACCGAACGATCATCACAACTCAGGAAGTTGACGATTTGTGTCGAATAGCGAGAACTGTTGTTCAGCAACTCCAATGATGAGTTTGCGAAATTACAATCATTTTGCAAATTGGCATCTAAAAATCAAACTAATTTTGGTAATCTGAGAGTCTATTCGACATCTTTTCAATTTCTTTCCAGTTATCATTTGTTGGACTTACCGATTTTCATTGCCTTATAATAATCAAAAAGTGTACATTTTATTTGTTACAACAAAACAAATTAGATACGATCACTTTTGGGAATGATACTCTTCGAAAAATGATTGTGCTTCATTAAAAAATAAATTTTATTGGAAAAAATTATTAGCCGTGAAGGGTTATCATATCATTTTTGAAAACCTGACGTAATTGCTGTTGCAGTTGATAGTCTCAAATAAGCCCTTAATTCATTTTCAGCTGAAATGCAATTTTGAAATTTATCTACGCAGAATAGCATTGGCTAAACCTTAACAATCTTCTTTGACAAAATTCGCCTAAGTAATATCGAGAAGATATTAATTTTTATCAAATGGCAGGGGTTTTGATGGTTATCATTAGCCCTT